CCTTGCCTTCTATATAAATGTGTATGACAAGTACGTGTGTGATCAGGATGTCGGAAATGTGTTGAGCAAAATACATTACACGTTTCAGATGAACTACGTCTTCTTATTGTTTTGTTGAAATGTACTTGTTGAACTTTATTTTAGTTTCTCCCAGATTAATGCTTTATATATCACATAGTTGTTATGTATAACTTACAATTCTAATGGAACATTTTTGGAAACATCCTTTTACTTACTATGAAAAGACCTTATGTATATGCGATAGTAAAGCACGAGAATAGTTTACTAGTACCCAGTGACTCAAAGCAACAGAATTGATAAAAAATTGTTGCTACATAACAAAACCACATCGGTGATTAGAAAATCTGCATCCTTATTTATATGTACTACTACGCATGCAATGCTACAACCTTCTTTGATAATTAGTGATACTTAAGCATGATCAAGTTGAAGGAAAGGCTAAAGGATCATCAAAACAGAACACCGTAGTTAATCAAGAAGTCTTCAATTGTTAGTTTGAGCTATGTAAAGAATCATACTTTACCAACCTGGGATCCTCGAGACGATTATAATCAATGCCAGAAGACTCTAACAATATTAGCTCATTTCTTATCTTTCACATTTCAAAATTTTCAATAATCCTCATTTAGTAATTCTTATCTCATTCAGATGTGTATGTATGTGTTGCCGGTTGTAGTTATAATGATATACTTCTGCTTTTAAAGAGTATGAAACGCTAAATTAAACTACCGTGCGTCTACATCATTCACTCACAGCTGTCGAGTTTCACTCCGAGTGATCACTGTTACAGTGATATTGACATGATACTATCACCAAACTCTCACTACCAACTACATGATTCACATTAATAAATAATATTGAAGGACATGATATTTCTAAACCAAACGAATAATATTCACTTATAATTTAAAGTGATGTTCAACAACTAAGCTTTCATTTATTAGCACAAATTGAAAGAATGCTTATTCGTCTTGAACAAGTAAGTAATTAAATCCAATGTCGTTTGGTTTCGTACTTTTTTTCAAGTCAATCCTAAAAATTTTGTCAAACATTTTCTCTGATGAACATAATGTGACGCGACATTCCAGGTGAAATTATTTAAACATTGACTTCTATAAGTGGCGCTGTGAATACGAATCTTAAGTTATCTTCTCCCTAATTATCATGTAACTAATTGTTGCCGTATGCCATTCCATTCCTTCGGGATTTCAACCAAATAATTGCTAATATCCGGTTGAGTCAAGAAGTTAGCAGAGGCTTGCAAGGTCAAGCTCCTGTTTAATTTAGATTTCCAGTTTATGGGAACAATAATAATAGCTTTATTCCGAAAAATACGTTTATACACACAATAGAGCATTCTCAGCGAGTTTCTTATTGCAATGTGTTGACTTGTTTTGCAGAATATTCAAGTAATATAATAAACGTTGATATATGAACTGAAGGATTATTGTTTTATCTGAAGCCGTGCTCCAATGATCCACAATGTTTCTTCTCCAAGGATGAGTGGAGGTACATGCTCCTGACAATCCTTGTAACAATACTTTGCACTTCGAGTAATAAAGCACATACCATACTTCCGGACAATGATCATCAACTGATTACGTGCGATTCGGTAGACTGCATTTTATTGTACAGTAAGAAGATGCATCTGCATACTGAAGGTCAATAAGTCTTTCTCCAAGCAGTATATCTACACCACCACATACATCCTTCAGAACTGTCTCCACGACGTCACTGATAGCAAAATTAGTGACGCGGGTTCGAATCTCAGAAGGGACATTAGTCCCTTCAAGGTTGCAGATATGCCTTGCTGAAGAGTGCCAACTAGCACGAAACCTAGGTCCAAGGCTTCCTGCCGATTGCCTCCAACCATCTAATATCATCACAAACAATGTACACCGTGATAGCGAGCTACCTAGAATGGTGGCCACATTACAACGTGAGACCTGGCCATTGAGAGCAGAAGACATGAAAAGATTAGCTGTGTTCGATCATAGGTGTCTGCGTTCTATCTCCCGTGTGAAGTGGTATAATAAGGTGAGCAATATTGAGGTTAGGCGTCGAGTGCTAGGTAAGGCGGGGAAATCAATCGACGAAACGGTGAAATTACATCGACTGAGATGGTTAGGACATGTGCTACGTATGCCTAGTCATCGCCTTCCTCGACTGACGGGCAATGTTAGCTGATATAGGGCCAGGCTGGAAAAGAGCTAGCGGCGGTCAAACGAAAACATGGCACCAATCAATGAAATCGACAACTGTTAATCTAAGCCACGTAGGAAGATGTAGACTTCCTGGCTGGGGCCCTCGGGATGGTAAAAACCAATGGTTGGAAACAATTGGTGACATGGCTCAAAATCGTTCCCAGTGGCGCAGATGCATCCACTCCTTGTGACTTATGATTTCCAATTAAACTGTTTTGTTCTCCGTTATTACTATTCCTTCGTCTCACACCTCTGTTTACTGTCTATATTATGCATTTCTTCTACTTTCTTCATTTGTTTTGCGTGCTACATAGATTGTGGCGACTTGAACTGACGCACATATGTGCAAAGTTCTATGTCGAAAACCGACCGATTACAACGTGACTGATAGAATTCAGTCTGCACCAAAGAGAGGACTAGACGCATCACACTAGTTACTAGTGTCAAGTGAATATATATATATATATATATATATATATATATATATTAAGAAATAGAACGATTGTCGGTCTGCAATATGTGTTATAGCAACTGACGAAGGGTGAACACATCGCCCGGACGAAACCAAGCCTCATAAAATCCACATGCATTTTAAAAAGCTTGAAGAGTAATACAGTAGCCAGCATTTTAGACGCAAATGGTAATAGACTAATACCCCAGTGATTGCCGAAGGGATTGCGTGCACCGTATTGAAAGATAGGCAAAATAATGGCTTTATTTCATATTGACAAAATAACCTCATTTTCTCACACATATCATAAACACTCTAGCCGGTCCCTTTGCGAAAGTTTAGGTTGCTTTTAATGACTTTCGATACTACAGTAAAGGACAAATGCGTAAACTGCACTCGAAGCAACAGAACACAGAGATATTTAGTAGACAGAGTGATGTACAGTGATTGCGAAATGTAAAAACCTTACATTGAAACTTTGATTTGAAAAAGTTATTCGCATTCTGCTTCGTTTATTTTCATTTCACACCTTCCATATTTTTTCACAGTGATCTTTATTTCTCCTCTCTGCAACTAAATCCATCGGTCTGTTATTCAGAATTCTAGAAGAACATACCAGCAATACACTACTTGCAAATTCATGTCATTAACACACGCCACAACTACTTGACTAGAGTCTCACCAGGTATATCAAAATCCAACTTCACAAAGATGGACCTACGAGCGCAAGCCTATGATAGTTTCGTCAGCCGAAAATTCAATGCAAAAAGTGGACTTCTTCTGTACATAAAAGTTTCGGACATCCTATACGTTCCCTGTCAGCCAGATAGCAATTTGACTACAAAGAAACAGATACACAGAGTAACAATACTCTCTATCCCACTTTACGGTTGAGTAAACTGTCGCTTAAGTCAGAGAGTTTGTGAATGCTTGAAGCACCGCACCAGCAATATCCCCCCACAGCGTTCCATGTGTTTAGTTAAATTACTATAGACGTATTGTCGAAGGTAGGTGAAATGACTCTATGTATCACACATCGATAAATAGTATCCGCCTGGATGGGCTTTGGTTAAAGCAAGCGAAACCTGAATGGAAGAAAGTTAAAAGCTTCTAGATCAAGGTGGCGTATTAATTCATCAAATCATTTGCATAGGTCATGTAGGAAAATGGAAGCTATCTGAGTGGGATCCAAGCGGCATTCAGAACAAAAGACTAACTGACTGGTTTCAGTGTAGAACTTTGCAAAGGTGGGCAGCAGTTCGAGTTGCCACATTCCATTCTATGTGGCACACAAAGCAAGAGAAAACAATAAAGAGATAATAAACAGAGGTGTGAGGCAAAAAGAATAGTAATATGGAAGAACAGCAGATTTTTATTGGATATGATAAATGACAAAAAGTGAATGTATTTGCGCCAGCCATTGAGAACGCTTTTGAGCCACATCACCAACTGTCTCTAGCCTTCAGTAGTTCTTACCATCTTGAAGACCCCAACCAGTCAGGAAGTCTACACTTCCTTACGTGGCTGGATGAAACTAACTGTTGTGGATTTCATTGAATGATGTCATGTTTTCGTTTGAGCGGCACTAGCTCTTTCCCTATGTCAGCTAACAGTGATTGTCGAGGAAGGTGATAGCTAGGTTAGGCATGCGTAATACATGTTCTAACCATTTCAATCGGTGTAACTTTACAGCCTCGTCTAATGATTTCCCTTCCTTACCTAGCAATCGACCGATGCCTCAACTCAATATTGCTCACCCTATTATACCACTTAACAAGTGAGATAGAACGCAGACACCTATGGTCAAAGACAGCTAGTCTTTTCGTATTTCCCACTACCAGTGGCCATATCTCACAGCCATAAAGGAGGACAGAGCGGACTGCTGAGCAGTAAAACATGCCCTTTGGTCGACAAACGGATATCACGTCTACGTCAGAGATGGAGTAATTTGGCATACACCAAACGAGCCTGCAGACTAATGACAGCTTCTGTAACCTCAGTTAGGGAGGGAGGACCTGTGTTTATATCCCATTTAGGGAGGTGGTGGATGCTGGGGTTAGTTGAGCGTGACTGTAGGCCAATTAAACTGATCCTCAAAGTGTTCTTTACAACGTTCCAGTCGTCTAACCTGAGAGCTAATTAAGGAGCCATTTTTCTCAGAGATTGTTTCACTTATCATATACCTTTTGCGGAACAAAAGGGTTGGAATGAAGGAGTTATTATACCTTATTCTTTTGGCCTTTGTGTATCACTTGACAATCTCCCACTGCATCATGGTTATTCTCAACACTTTCCAAGTAAACAAATAAATGATGAATACCAGAAACAATTTCCAACCGTGTATTTGACAAAATGGATAAAAGAACAACTCTGACAAACTAATTCCAACGAAAACATGATATGAAGAAGATTTCGCTTTGTGAGCTTAGGTTATTAGAGAAAAGGCGAGTGAAAAACGCAAGCAAATCTGTAAATCTATGTAAAAGCGGGGAACGTATAAAGCTGTACACAAATATACCAATAACAATAATGTCAACCTTTGTTCACTCATTCGACAGATTAGAACAGATACACAATTAGGCTTCATTCAAAACATTCTGCATTAAATACTTTTTATACGAGAAAATATCACCTTCCCAAGGAGTCACTTTCTCATTTTCACATACCCATATTTCTTTCGCAACCTAAAATTTTAAAAATAAAGACAAAAATCAGTCAGATTCCTTGAATTATTTGGTGCTATAGAACGTGAATGATAACCATCAAGACAGAAGACGTGACATAACAACACACTTGTATAACACCACTTACAGATAGTATAACTAAGGCAAGAGGTAGAACTACACACTGAAATTATTTGATGGACATTTCCAAGCTCAATTACACACACTAAGGGCCATAATTATTGTGTGAGGTCTGATGATAACTACCCAGCTGCAGCCCATGCTGAAGTAGGTGGAGTGGAACTCGAACGCTTGACTCATCGACTGAAAACCGAGTGTCAGTGAGCGGCATATTTTCCAAGACCTCCCCAAAGAAAATTCATCCATAAAGTAGTAAACACGATATAATACCCATGAAGTAGGTAACAGTACGACTGTTTCACACATAAAATATTTTATATGACGAACGTCCGAAGGCAGTAGTAAAACACTAAAAGATGATTCAATTTTTAGACCGTCGAATTTTCGTCAAGGAATAACAAAAACAACTGACAACGCTTAGTTGACATTGATGTTATTTAGTGGATAGTGACTAGCAGTGGAATATTCAGGGTGCACACGTCTTCCCATCTGGGTGCACCTGTAATCCCCAGTGATTGATGGTGCTCTCTCACTGAGACGACTCAAATCCAGTACCCTTCGTTTCAGAAGCCAGAGACGAACATTTGGGTTCAATCAGTCAATGGGAAGAACAAAAGCCGACCTAAACAGAATAACGCTTGACGGACATTTATGTACCATTCATCCACATGAAAAAGGAGTCAAATCGAAATCCTCTTAGCGACCAAGTTTTTCAGATTATTAAAGAGAGAGTTGAAACAAACGTTTGTTGCTCGCCGACTCACAAAATTACTCTGCTACCTACTTTTTCTTACTTCAACCTCAATTATCAGCATCATTTCACTTCAAATATCAATAATAATTTTCCAAAATTATACTAAGACAACATACCTGTGAAATAAGTCTAAAGTCGTGACTAACAAGTAGCAAACCACCTTCAAAGTCATCAATAGCATCAGCCAATGAGTCAATCGTTTCAATATCCAAATGATTTGTAGGTTCATCCAATAACAACAGATGAGGAGCTTTTTGAGCAAGCCAAGCAAATATAATTCGACATCTTTGTCCATCTGATAGTGTACGAATAGGACATACCTGAAATTGTAAAGAATTCACGTTGGTAATATAAACAATAAATGAATATAACTGTTATGGAATAATAGATTTTGTTTTACGATTGAAGAAATTTCTTAAAACATATCAAACATGAATCCAGCAAGTAAATGTTGCCGATTACTTTAGTTGGGGGATAACACTAAAGGGTTATATAAGCATTTGTGTAAAATGTTCATTCAGTATACTTGGTAAGAAAGAGTATTATCTATCGACCTTGTTTCTAGACTAAATAAAAGATGGATAGAGAATACTAACTCCAGGTTTACTTGGAATAATCAATAAAAGCATCGTCATGCTCTCTATGGTATGTACGCTTATGACTCCATGACCGCTTTACTTAGGTTGCTTATGCTCTCTATTAGATGAGAAAGAGTACAATGCATGAAAATTACACCAATACCTTTAATTTACGTAAAACTGCAATATCTTATTTCTTCTGCTATACACACATAACATTTTCTACATTATATCCAAACTTAGTTAATTTTAGGAGTACTTCTCTCGCCTACAACTGTCAAATTTTACTGAGCTTATTAATCAACTATGAAACGGTTAAGTTAATCTGTTTATATTGAAGGATCTGCTCGCTGCAATTCAAAGTGAGCTGATCTCCATCTCCTGCTACCATCAATTATGTGTGTCAATTCACAAATACATCTCCAAGCAAGTATACACTGGAAGGATAGAAAGTAGAGTTATTATTTGTATTTCTATACATTTCTTGAAAAACCAACAACTGATTGGTTTAGATGCTCTAAAAAGGTTCATTTTACGAATATGTTGGATTACACGAATAACTCAAAATCATACAAAGTAGTCAGAAGGTAAAAATTCCTTAGCCTATTACATTTAGTCATTAGTAGTTTTATCAAACCATGATGTATTCAAAAAGTGATAGTTATCAACCCTCCCATTCATCTGGTGATTTCACCATATCATCATTTAATCTTCCATATCCTCTTCTGTTACTCATCCTACCATTTATCCTCCTGTAGACACAGCCTACAAACATTTCGAAACACTGACTAGTGGACTAGCAATATTCTTTTCGATATCTTCTTCATCACGTCATACAGTTATGTATCCATAACAATTTTAAAAAAAAACTGTTATCATTAACAAGATCAATGTTTTCTAAATAACATCGAATCAATAATAATAATAATAATATCAACAGATTGTAGTTCAAAAACATCTGTAAGTAATAACATGCATTGTGTTATAACACTAAACTGAATATCAAATAAATTAGTAAAAATAACAGACAATTTATAGGTTCTACACAACAGGTTATTATTGGTCCCTTGGGTTCCTAGTGGAACATAGGGCTTCAACTGCACGTCTCCACTTGCTTCTGTCTTCTGCTGTACTTTTCACCAACTGCATCCATCTTAGTCCATACTGTTTCAACTCCTCTTCACACGATCTCCTCTATGTCACCCTTGAACGTCCCACTCGCCGCTTCCCTTTCGGGTTCCACTCGAGGGCCCGACACACGATGTCATCCAGCGGCCTCCTCAGCCAATGAGTGTCCAATCCATCTCCACTTTCTCCTGCATATTTGTTGGGTGATTGGTTCTTGTTTTGTTTCTTCCCATAGTTTCTTGTTGGTGATTCTTTCCAGTCATCTGGTCTTGAGTATAGAACGAAGACAGTTGTTGATAAAGGTCTGCAACCTGTGGGAAATATTCTTTGTGACCCGCTGGCCAAGTTTCTGATCCGTATAGAAGAACTGACTGACTTGACGTTTGTATTGAAAATCCGAATTTTGTTGTTGATGAAGCTGAGTGACGAAGATTTCCAGATTGGTTTTAGGTTGATGAATGTGTTTCTCGCCTTCCCGACTCTCGATTTGACATCGTCGTCCGTTCCTCCTGCAGTTGAGACAATGCTTCCTAGATAAGTGAATGAAGTAACCTTTTTCAACTCCCTCAATTCAGGCCAGGGCAGTAATAATGGTTGGCCCCATTTTTCAAGCACACAGAGCTCCGGTAGTTTTAAGCGAATCGACTCGACTGCTCCTTTAGAGCCAGTTATATTGACCTTTGCTCTGGGAACTTAATTTTTCGTGTTCGGCGACACCTACCAGTGTTTCTAAATAAAAGGTGTAGTCAAAACTACTAAAAGTCCTATAATAGATTACCTCATCCAAACAGGCAATAAAGTTGGCACTGTAAGGTCTTTTTCTATCATCTATCGAATACCGAATAAATTGACATAGGTCTCGACAAATACCGAACATTCCAAATAACAAAGGCTGTTGCAGTTCGCTTAAAACAGCTAGTGTTCCTGTGAGCAATAGTAAGAGGTCAAGCCACTATAGCTACCCCCGTCTCCTGTGGAACTTATAAATTCATGAATTCACTATTATTATTATTATTCTCAGTTTATCTGATATTCAGTTTATTGCTTTATATTGATGCATATTTGAAATGTAATCCTATTGATATTATGTATTCAGTGTTATTTAAAAAAAAACATTAATGTTGTTAATAACAATAATTCCCTAATTACTATGAATATATATATATACAACTGTAGAACCTAATGTAGAAGTTATCGGAAAGAAGATATCCTCGTTTTAGTATTCAGTCTTATGAAATTGTTAACGGGCATATTTAATCGATTATAAACATTTACTACATATTTGTTATATTATATCTCCTAAGTTAACGTTTTCTCCCAATTAGGTTATTTATATATTTACCTAGCTGTCTCATAAATAACCAACTGTTTTAACACTGATAATTTTTTTTTGATTGCAGCTTGATTCCACACCGTAGTTTTGATACAAGTATGGAATTTTCAGCATGGATATCGGTAGCCCAAATTTCGCAGGCCGACCATTGATATTGGGTGTGCGACGGCAGGGGATCGAACCTCAGACCATGTTCATGGTCGGTGAGAGTTCTAACCACTGTGCCACCGACGCACATGATTTCGTCTACTAATATAACTGCTTGCATCACTCCCAGTACATGTTACTTCTGATTTCCTGTTTTAGTGAACGACTGACGACTTGTAATTTCTGCATTTTGGATCTCATATTTAGGTTGTAGGTAAGAAGAAATTTATTCTTGGGATTTCATCACAAAGATATTGCTTTTACACCATAAATTATTTTGATTGAATTTGAGATTATAGCGAAAATATTCATTCAGACATCTAGAAAACACAAAATAATTGAGGATACCAAGCAAATCTCAATTTCGCCTCAAGAGTTCGACTACTAAATATTGCTGAGGCTGTTGGGATCCATATTGACGAGCCTAATTTGTACATCCAAAAGAAGTTAGTTCAGACATTATCATTACCTTGGCCATCTAGGTTTGAATGATCCTTAATTTTTTTGGAAATCTCCCTCATTTTTGTTGATATTCTAGTTGCTATTACATCTTTATTATTATTATTATTTATGAATCTTTCATGAACTGTAATTCTATTGATCTTACTTTACAAATAGATATTATTTAAAAAACACTAATATTGTTATTGACTACTAATCTAGAATATTCTATGTATATAAACACACATATATATAATTGTAGAGCCAGAAAAGGGTTCTAGTGAGAAGTCGTGACCAGTAGGGTGCAGCAGGTTGGATGTGAGGACAAATACTCGCCGAAGACATTGGCTAGGGATCGCGCTATATCATGAATTGGCAGAAGTTAGAATTCATGGACTGGCCATTAGATCGGGTCCCAGTGGCTTAATGGTATACGAGCTCGCCTTGTCACCCGAAGGTCCTGGGTTCGAATCACGGTGGGTGCGTACTGATGAAGAGTCCCAAACTAGGACGAAACAGCTGTCCAGTACTCCCAGGTTTTCCAATGGTTCTCTAACTAATGTCAGCTCATGACGAAAAGGATATTCTTTGTTGAACTATTTTGTGTTTTATAGATGTCTGAATTTGATTATACACAGAATAGTTTTCGACAATCAAGAAAACGGTGGACTGTGTTCATCAATAATTAACTAACAACAACGACAAATTGTTATAAACTGCACATAAAGTTTGCTTGCAAAAATACATCATAAGAAACTAACCTGCTGAGGTCCACTTAAACCATAACGTCCAAGTAACTTTCGCATATCATCACGTTCTTTAATTTCTGGATAACACTTCATCATCCAGTCGACTGGACTCATATTAATATCCAACATTTCACCTAAATGCTAGAAATGAAGTAAGTCAATTTAGAAGAAAAGAAAAAAAAAGAGACATTATTCTCATGAATAAAAAGAGAACAACTTCAACCGTGTATATATAGGCATATAAGACTGAATTGTTGGTATTAGATGGTTGGAGGCAATCGGCAGGAAGCCTTGCTTGACACAGGTTTCGTGCTAGTTGGCACTCATTAACAAGGCGTATCTGCAACCTTGAAGAGACTGATGTCCCTTCTGAGATTCGAACCCGCGTCACCCAGTGAGTGCTGCAGTCAGAGACGTTACCACTGAGCTATTCAGACTCGCAACTGACCTCCTGTAGGACTGTATAGGATATTTTTGATTGCACACTAGTTGCTGACTAGTGCGCAATCAAAAATAGAAGACTGAATTATAAAAGTCGACTATATTTACCTGATGATAACGACCTATGCGAAGGTGTGAATGACGACGAATAAGACCATCAGTTGGATCCAGCTAATGCATAACATAAGAAAGACAGAATAATGAAATATATTAAAAATTCAATAATAATAATAACAGTAACAGCTTCACTCTGCACAAAAATGTCTACACAATATAAAGAATTCTTGGTGTAACGTATCGCATAGCGATCGTTTAGATGCAACGCTATTCGATTTGAAGAATGGTGTATAATTCTTTCGTATGTGAGAAATGCACAGCAGTAGGTTGAAAGCCAATTAAAAAAATATATATATGTGAGTACATTTGACGACCCACGGACATAACTGAATGGTTAAAATAATAAGAAATTGGAGAAATTTCAGCCACTGTGGTGGATGGAAATTCAGGTAGCCCGGTGATTTAACCAGGTCGTCTCGACTTCATTTTATTCCTTTGTGTTCCGAATGAAACAATTGGATTCGCAAGCTTGAGCTTTACGATTTCAGTAACAATAGTGTTTATTTTTTACGAGGTGGAGTTGCCAGACTCATACACCCAACCTCCGCTTTTTACTGGACTTACTACTAAGTGAAGTTTAAGAGTGCGTCGGCCGGGGATAGAACCTTGGACCACAAGCAAACCACTGAACTACCGAGGCATATATATATATATAAGGTTTATGTACACATGTATATAGTAGCGATGAATATTCCCACCAATAAAGCTTACCTCAGCAGCAATCAACTTCAACAAGGTTGATTTACCCGCACCATTTGGACCGACTAAAGCAACACGACGATCTAAATCAATGGCTAAGTCGAGATTTCGATAAATCCACGGCTAGATATTAAAGAACAAACAGAAAATAATCATGTTGTATTAATCTCCGAGTAGGAAAAAAAGGGAAAAAGAACTATCGTTGTCAACAACATTGTTTTTTTTCTGTAGAGAGCATAATAACTTTACTGAATACTAATCATAACGATGCATAACACACTACTACTTGAGACAGATTTCATTTCATCTAATCCAATTTAAGCAAGGGGAAAATAATTCAGCTAGAAATATTCACAGTTCTCAAGCAGAAATGAATGAATGAATATCCCCCTAGATAAATCTTATTCCATACAATCTCTCTCTATATATATGGAAAATCTACTACTAATCAGAAAGAAAAAAGTGTAAGTATTGTTAATAGAATAGCAAAAATCCCTATAGTAGACATTTAGAAGACAAAAAGTATTTTTTTTCATCTTTTACTACGAATATGTAGAGAGTTCTACTTACTTATGATTAAAATTAATGCATGACAGAAGAATTATCGAGTCTCTGTTTAGATTTCTAACTCACTTACTGTTGTGTAATCATACTTGTGAGTCTTTTCTTAAGCATAAAATAATCTTTGAGTAAAGTAACGCCCCCCCCCCTCCCCAGTTAACCATCTTTGTCAGGTTAATTCAGTTTATTGACTTCAAGGAATTTAGTCGTATTCGTATTTATGTTCGAGAACAATCTACAGAATCACACACAACAATGCAAACAAAAGGATAATAAATGACTGCTGGTCTAAACCACCAACTATTTGAGGGGGGAGGGGGTCTTCTTGATACTCAGGACAAATTTGGTGTAGGCTTCTAGTGAAACCATCAAAAGTCATTCACAATGACTCATATGTATACGTTTTTTTATGATAGAAATCCTGAAACCTGTATATTACTCTTTCCCCCCTCTCAACACCTTTTTCTGTTGTAGTATTTACTGCATTTCTGTTCTCTGCATGTGAACTGTGATAGACGTATGTCGATTATCCCTACAAACCAACACTTGAATATCAATGAGATGCTCACTGGCGACTGGCCCTATTCAGGTAGGTAGTTACCTGGGGTTCTAGTGAGAAGTTGTGACCAGTAGGGTGTAGCAGGTCGGGTGTGAGGACAAATACTCGCCGAAGACATTGGCTAGGGGTTGCGCTATATCGTGAATTGGCAGAAGTTAGAATTCATGGACTGGCCATTAGATCGGGTCCCAGTGGCTTAATGGTATACGAGCTCACTCGCCTTGTAACCAGAAGGTCCTGGGTTCGAATCCCGGTGGGTGCGTACTGCTGAAGAGTCCCAAACTAGGATCACAGAAACAGCTGTCCAGTACTCCCAGGTTTTCCAATGGTTCTCTAACTAATGTCAGCTCATGATGAAAATCCTGTAACCAATCAAATCCCTACAAACTAACACTTGATTATTTTTCCGTTGACTAGGTGTTTACACTTGGAACAATTGTCGCTACTTACTGCATTAGTTTCATTAAATCACATCGTGTACAGCTTCATACCTTTTTTGTTCATTGACTTTTGAAACTATACCAGTTTTTCCGATTATCTTGAATATTAGTCATTGAAGTTTTGTATGGGTTTTTAATGTTTGTTGTTTGTACTTAAGCAATGGAGCTTATAAATCTAGGCAATCGCCATTCAGTTCAGTTTTTGTTACCAGTTAAGATTCTACTCCACCCACCTAGATTTTAGGCAGTAGGTAGTAGTATCATCAGGTTTCAAACAATAGGTATGACTTATTGATCTGTGCATTTCTACCCCTCCCCCTCCGACCCAATGAGTATTTCAAGCATTTATTTCTTTGTTATCATTTAAGTAGTACTTTTCACTTGAGTATTGAAAAGTGCATTTTAATCCAACTGTATTTGTCTGCATTGTATTCCCGACCGATAGCTGCTACCTTGACGTGGTGGTCGGGCTTGCACATCGCGATGACCCAACAAGCTACACTGGCTGGAACCAATGTTCCTGCAGGTCCTATCATGCCAGGAAGGTTGTTAGGATAGCGATTAGATTAAAAGCAGCTACCGGTATTGTGTAAGAATCTTTCCCAAACTACGCTGGGGGTCTGAGGGCGAAGTCGTACTGCTGGGAAACAGGGGTGTAACAGCAGCGAGGTGTTTCCCTCAGATGACCAACACTCCAGCTATGCTGTCTCTCCACTCCGGAGGGAAGGGGTTAGAAAAGGTCGACCCCAAAAATGGTACATCCCGACTTACCCTACGGTGGTCCGTAACCGGCGGTCAGCTTACTAATACGGAACCAATCCCAGAAACCAGTTCATACAGGCCGTGTGTGACCGGCTTCAAGCAGTTGTCCCCTGGGCTCTGCGGTCACGCAACACTAACCCTCTCTCTGTTTCAGGTACCCGAAGAACCAATCAACTTCCACGGTGTGGGCAGCTGGGAAGTAACAACCGCCCACACACTTCCAAGAGCACACGAAGCAGACAGACAGCATTGTATTATTCTGCACATTGTCGTCAAAAGCAAGATACTATTAATTCCTGAAGTCAACAGACTTCATTAACCCGGCTAAAGTAGGTAACCAAAGCATTACAAAACTCAAAGCAAAAATTACCCACATACGTCTATCAGTTCAAGTTTTCACACTTCAAAAAATCGTACAAATGAAGGAAACAGAAGTGCAGTGATACTACAACAGACGAAAGTGTTGAGAAAAAGAATAATTCTAAGAAGAGTAATAAGGGTTTCAGGATCTCGATCATAAAAAGTAGACACACCTGTATCATTGTGAACGGCTTCTAACAATTTCCCTTGGAGCCCACACTAATTGATCCTTAGTATCGGGTAGACGCCAACCAGGCGATGTACAGTAATCCATGTTGTTTAGATCAACAGTCACTTATGTCATAGATTCTCGCACTGTTTTTCTGAACTCTTATTCATCTTAACTCCAATATCAATCGTCAACAAAGGCGGCGGTTAGGCATATGTAGCAAATATCCCGATCAGTTTAGTCACCGAAAATTTGAATCCTAAGAAACTGACTCACTTTTCCTACTTGATACCAAGTCTATTCTTCTCAATATTAGTTACCACACTGCTCCATCTTTCTTACGGAAGACTGCAGTATTCCCCTAACGAATAGTCATGACATATCAGCTTACCACTTCAAAATAAACATAGAACAATTCGAAGGAACACGATGACCGCGGTATAAAATATTATCAAAACACTAACACGAAGATATCTAAGGTTTCACACAATGCTCTTACCTTTCCTGGTCCATATCGAAAACTAACTTGTTGAACCTGGATGACAGGAGGTGGGATTGTTCCAGGATCAGGGAAGTAAAATGTCAATGTTTTATCACCTTCAACCTTTTCAGCCAAACCACCGGCTACCATTTTCTGTAAAACTTTTTCTTTACTTTGCGCTTGACGAGCCATTTTCTTATTTCCATGTCCAAATCGAGCTATGTAATCCTAGCCAGAGGGAAAAAGTTTAGAATAAAGTCTTATTTAGTTACATTCACTACAAAATAAAGGGATTTTATACAGTGTTAGTCCCTTATACCTGTATAATGAAAGAGCGCTAACAACATTCAGTAGGACTACCATTTTAATTGACTACAATATAAAAGGCGTAACGGGTGGTGTAGGATGGTAGTTACATTATAAGAAGCAAGAATTAATCTACAGCCTTATGGGAAATGTAAGTCAGATTTGATTGTCAGTGGAACCACTACAGTGAAACAATTCAGAAACACTTTAACCTGTCTACAATTATCTTTAAGTTGTTCAGAGTACAGTCTTAACCAAAACAGGATGTTGATATCAGTTCCCCGTGCTCTCACCCAGGTTGACCATGTCGAGAAAAAAAGCATAGAAGAGCTGCTATAAAGCATGCCAGTTACAGATTACGAGTTGCATTATCCAAATTACGAGATCCAGTTGAGTAAACCTGAACTCTTTATAACATTTAGCTTACGACAAAAAATTTGGCATAGGAATCGGGTTAACTTGAACAGTTTCAAAGAAATCGTATGGTTGGTGGTGATTACTCGAACTAAGGGACTATTCTTCTATATACTTTCTGCTACTGTTGTGCCATTTTATTCTGTCGAATGTGCAGATTTATTATATCTGAGTGAAGGTAGTGCTGATCAAGTATATAAAGATAGCCAGGGGTTGCATATTCAACGGAGCCATATTAAATACCAATGGAAAGTTATCATTTTGAAGTAACTAACCAGTAGTGTATGCTAGAAGTCTGCTTTTATTATCGTGTTTGGTTCTATTCAACGCAAGTAATAATAAATGACAAGATTAAATAACGCATTAGGGCTGATTGCGTGAACCACTCGGAAATGATGTATTGTTTGTGCACTGTTCTGCACAATTAAATAAGGAAGTAACTTCTGCACATAGCGCTACTAACTAAATCTTGTACTAAGAATCATGCAAGGAAAACAAGGATTGTAGTAGTAATTTTGTATTCCTACAATAACCGAAATTCAGTCAGTATCGAAAAACAAGCACAATGAAAATAAAACTATTTTCATGTTTATGTTGCCAAGCTAGCTCAGAAACACAACAGTCAATAAAAACTATAGTCGGACATAATTCCATTATGGAGAAAATTTTATTTTGATAAAGTCTCACAGTTTTATACAGTAACACCTACTGATGACCAAGTTTCGAGCACAATTTATTGCTCATAATCATATCAAGGTACTCACACAACTTTTTGACTTCGTTTATATACATGGGTGAAAAATTGATTAGACATACGAATAAAATCAATATAAAGTCCAATAGACATGAGTGAAACAGAAAGGAAGATAAAGTGCATTCGGAAACAATATTAGTTATCAATAAAATATAGTACGATGGGAAATAATAATAGCGTAAATGGGAAAAAACATAAGGCATCTAGTCTTACCATATCTGTCTGTCTGTCTGTCTGTTTTCGACATAGAACTTTGCACATATGTGCGGCAGTTCAAGTCGCCACAATCCATGTAGCACGCAAAGCAAGAGAAGGAAGTAGAAGAAATGCATAATAATATAGACAGTAAACAGAGGTGTGAGACAAAGGAATAGTAATAACGGAGAACAAAACAGTTTAACTGGAAATCATAAGTCACAAGGAGTGGATGCATCTGCGCCACTGAGAACGATTTTGAGCCATGTCGCCAATTGTTTCCAACCATTGGTTTTTACCATCCCGAGGGCCCCAGCCAGGAAGTCTACATCTTCCTACGTGGCTTAGATTAACTGTTGTGGATTTCATTGACTGGTGCCATGTTTTCGTTTGACCGCCGCTAGCTCTTTTCCAGCCTGACCCTACATCAGCTAACATTGACCGTCGAGGAAGGCGATGACTAGGCATACGTAGCACATGTCCTAACCATCTCAGTCGATGCAATTTCACAGTCAGTCTTACCATATAAGGAGGGGACACCTGAGGTCCTACGAAGGATTCTCAACAAAGCAGGAATTAGGGTGGCATTTAAACCTACAAACGCAATCAGAGACAAGCTCTGTTGGCTGAAGGACCAGGTGGACCCGATTTGACAACACAATATAATTTACAAAATACCTTGCAATGACTGTGAGTTAGGTCAACTGCATAAGTAATACTAGTAGATTGGGAGTATTCAGATTATCAGAACATATGAATTTAGCTAAGGTCAGAGTTATTGACCCCTCCTGCGAAGATAAGTAATCAAGAAAAAAGCTCAGCAATCGCACTGTACAACCACACAATAGGGTGGGAGAGGGTAAAAATTCTAAAAAGTAATATAGGTAGGTGCAGGTGGAGAGAGCTTGATTACTGAATCCCTGTTCATCGAGTCTACACCCAATACATGCAGCACGAATGACTCATCAACCATACCGGAAATATGAAAAATACTAATACCAATCAACCACTGGGTGACATAGCGCGCAAGACCCTCGAGTGGAACCCGAAAGGGAAGCGGCGAGTGGGATATCCAAGGGTGACATGGAGGAGATCGTGTGAAGAGGAGTTAAAACAGTATGGACTAACATGGCTGCAGGTGAAAAGTGCAGCTGAAGCCCTATGTTCCATTAGGAACCCAAGGGAACAACAATAGTAATAATAATAATAATAATCAAGTCAAGCGATGAAAAACAATGGAATTATATAAACGAATTTGGAAAGTTGTGTGAGTACCTTCATATGATTATGAGCAATAAATTGTGCTCAAAACTTGGTCATCAGTAAATATTACTGTATAACACTGTGAGACTTTATCAAAATAAACTTTATCTCCAATGGAATTATACTCTCCCACAGTGTCCAAATCCTATTCTTATGTAGTCAGATATTATCAAATAGATAGGAATTAACAATAGAATTACAAAAAAAGGTAAAGTTATCACTTGTACTTGTATAACCTTGATTGGAAGGCAATTAGGTAAACACATATGACTCATCGATTCTGATGTATGCATCACATGCAGGAATGTATGGACAACCACAATTCAGCAGTTTGCTTCAAAGCAAAGTTGTGAACATAGGAAACACTAGTAAATAGAAGGCTAATTCGATGCTGATTATTGAAGTAAAGTTCATGTAATTACCATAAATGAATGATACAATGCATTGGAAGAAAACTGCTCGCAAAGTAAAACCTCTCTACGCCTTGAGCAAAATGTTATTCATTTTGCTCTTGTTGAAGGTGGTATGTTACCACAAGAATGGGCTACATTAACATCGGGGTGAAAAAATAAATCATAAGGGTGTCAAACGCTATGGGAAAATAGGTGTCTGCGTTCTATCTCCCATGTGAAGTGGTATAATAAGGTGAGCAAAATATTGACGCAAGGCGTCGAGTGCTAGGTAAGGAGGGGAAATCAGTCGACGAGACTGCGAAATTACATCGACTGAGATGGTTAGGACATGTGTTACGTATACCTAGTCATCGCCTTCCTCGACTGACGGGCAATGTTAGCTGATATAGGGTCAGGCTGGAAAAGAGCTAGTGGCGGTCAAACCAAAACTTGGCACCAGTCAATGAAATCTACAACAGTTACTTTTAGCCACGTAGGAAGGTGTAGACTTCCTGGTTGGGGTCCTCGAGACGGTAAAAACCAATCGTTGGAAACAATTGGTGACATGGCTCAAAATCGTTCTCAATGGATGATGCAGATGCATCCACTCCTTGTGACTTACGATTTCCAATGAAACTGTTTTGTTCATCGTTATTACTATTTCTTTGTCTCACACCTCTGTTTACTGTCTCTAATATGCATTTCTTCTACTTTCTTCTCTTGCTTTGTGTGTTACATGGAGTGTGGCGACTTGAACTGCCGCACATCGGTGCAAAGTTCTATGTTGAAAACAGACAGACAGACATGGGAAGATGCACCAACCATGCTGAACTTATAACTTAGAAAAAAACATGAATACAATGCAGAGATATTACATGAAGTATTACATGGAGAAGTCCACTTAATAGAGACTGGGAAGCAATAAACATGACAGTTTATTCTCTACATCCAGGTACACAGGATCAGTCGATGTAAATAACCTAAGAGTATCCAAGACAAAATCCAGTACCAATCGATGAAGACTTTACTCTTTAATCCGAAGTTTGAAACAAACTGAACTTCAGACTAATTGGATTATCCATACATCAAAGACTAATTGCTAAAGATTCACAGTTTGAAACTAATACGTTTATCTCTTTGCTTATTTCTCCTTCCCTTCCTAAAAGAAATGAACAAAGCACTGAATTCAACAAAAGTCTGCAGTATTGAAAAGAAAGTGATGACAAAAACGCTTGTAACACTATGATACAATCCTGGGAAAAATGAAAAATTACAATCGACCAAAGGTAAGTACCTTTGGCAGGGTGTAACAACAATAGTAGCCTGACAATAATATCAATCTTATAAAAAAAAAAAAAAAAAAAAAAACAGAAAAACAATGAAGTAACTGGATATCATATCCAACTTATTTAATATAACAATATTCAATTAAAACTGCTCAACTTACTTTCATAGAGGCGATTTGATCTTGTTCCCATTTAAAACGTTTCATTTGATTTTCCTCCAATTCACATCTTGTACGCACATACTGATCATAGTTGCCCTGAAATATTGAAACATTGCAAAGGAAATTATTACTCGCATAACTAAACTACTTATTTATTTTATAGTAATACGGGTATACTCACAGCAGAAACTAAAGTAACCGCGTTAGACCTTAAAAACTTGAAGATCTAAGATGAGAGTAGTCCGTCAGACCGAGCAATTCAATTTTCTTCATATGCAACATTTGGACGGCCAAGCATTAACAATCAAAATCGACTCATGAAGTAAACACAAGGATTAGATTGAATGCACATGGTATGCTGTTTAGCCGTCCAAATAAAAGTAGATTAACTGCATATAGTATGAACACAATTAACAAATATGGTGGATATCTCGACATTCTACAGATTGTTATATGCTTTCGTTTGCGAGCAAAGTGAACGTCAGACAAGAATAATTAACTAAAGCTTCAGAGAATTGGAGTGGAGAACCAACAGAGTAATTTGACCACATGCATGTAATTATATCTAGGTCTTCTAACCCTAACCTAACCCTAACGTATAGATATCCCTAAACTAGTCCTAATCTAACTCGAACCAACCCTAATGTCGTCCTCACTAGGTTAACCTAACCCCAACCTGTCCTTAGCCTAAATCTTGATTTGGCAAAGTTCAACAATAGCGTCGCGGGAATGCGAACGCACGAGTGACCTTTAGCTGACCAATCATAAAAATGAGGAATAATTGCTCAAAAATGATGTATGTTGACAAGAAAATGCTTGAAAACGCATTAAACAGGTTATCTTTCTCTGACATGGCTTCAAAGTACGTCCTAGTTATAACGAGGAGTATCAGTTGCTAAGTTAGACTAGTTTCTGTACATGTATTCACCGAGATGACTACAGATAAACTGTTTTTGTGAATCGTTTATCTCTCTCATCGTGCTTGTAGTATTCCAAAAAGGCCCGCGGTTGAACTATTATGATTTCCAGCAAGAGGATAGACGACTACTTACCAGGAAAACGTGGATAATAAAAAAATTAAAATAAATGACATCAACTATAAATCTATCCCTAATCGTAACCATAAACTTAATCCTGACCCTAACACTAAACCTAACATTAATCCTAACCCTTATTCAAACCGTAATTCTAACCCTAATGCTAATTATAACCCTGATCCTAATCCTAACCCCAATACTTACCTTAACCCTAATCCTAGCCCTAACGAGCTATTAATACATTGCCCAAATAGTGCTTAAAAACGTGATCTGGGTGAAATTTGCTCCTTAGTTGGTGAATAGCGTTGATATTTCAGCTGTGATAGTGACAGATGTCGTTGGCCAACGACTAGTATGCGTTCAAGGTCATTGGAGCGTTCACACTCCTGGGACGCTACTGTTGAACTTCGCCCTTGATTTTTCCCAAATCTAACCTGAAACCTGTCAGATATACCATTTAATGAAATAACACTTCATTAAGCATATTTTATTCAAGGTTACAATATTGTTTACCAGGTTTCATCACTAACTTGCTCACTGGACGTCTCAAGGTCAATGGTGCGTCGCACTCCACTGGTACTTACAGCTTAACTTGACCATGGGGCTTATTTATCACCTCAAAAACTGATGAACCAACTTTTTTAAGACAGTGTAAAATCAAGGTATTCATGCAGAAATTCAAAGCAAGTGGGAAACGACCATTCGAGTCACATTATTGACAATACAAATAAAGAAATCAGTACTTCTAGAGTTCATTGTGTATGACTAATCAAAACACATAAAAGGTGGTAACTATGCGCTACCACTGTCGATATAAGACATGTTGCTAAGTCATTCGAAATACATGGGATCATGTGTGAACTAGCATTTGGGCACAGATGCTCTAATGTATTTGATGAATAGTCAGACGGTGGTTACTACAATCCATATCAATCAAATTAAGTTCTCACGGTACGAGACATGTTAGTAGGCAATTCGAAAACACTAGCATAAATCTGTACGAATTCTAGTTCAATAATAATTCCGTTTGAAGGGCTTAACTACATGTCTTATATACCCGCTATAAATAAGTAATCCCCACAGTTGAGTTAACAGTATAAGCCATATATATATTTATGATCAACCCAAATACAATAAAATGTTTCCAAATTCTAGTTCACTATTCTAAATCTTGCTCGAATGTCTTCACAAAATGCATTTCACCTATACACCTTTACATACATACAAACATACATACATATCAGGATACAAAGTAAATTCAAGATATTAACAATTTAATTGATGACTCATTGTTCATTTATCTGAAATATGTCCTAACTTATAATATCATGTGACAATACCATATTCGTATGAGATCTTATCTGTAATTTTTGAATTTCTCACAGGATAAGACTAGCTGTTAGTTGAGCCGTTCACATAAACACGACTATTAATTAATGAAACAGAATTCGAACGCATTTACTTTAATAATAATAATAATAATAATATGCTTTATTCCAAAACAGTACTTGTGATACAGAATGGAATTTTCAGCATTTTACTACAGTATTGCATCCAGTTAGTACATTAACAATAAATAAAGTTCTACATAGATTAAGGGTAATCTCAGTTAGTTTTGACAACATAATGGCATGTCGGTAGCAAAGCCAAAAGTGAACAGAATCTTTGATGGTGTTAGAAAAGTAGATGCTAGCATATTTACTGGCGTAAGCGGTAACAAAAAGGTCGAGATATACAGATGTGAAAGAACGAAGAATGTTTTAAATAGAGTTTGTAAGGAAGAAAGAAACAAAGCAGCACGACAGAAAATAGAGAAAGAGAGAAAAGGAAAAGAAAGAAAGAAAAACGTTATACCTATAAATGATATGAGTTGAAAAGACGAGATCCAGTTGTTCTACTGACTATCTAATAAGTTATAAATATCACGCCTAATGCTTTCTTTATCCCACAGAACACGAGCTAAGTAGGGTATGGTTGAGTTTTTGTACTTGCTAGTGCGAGCATATAGTTTTCTATAGAGGCTTCTGGTTCTGCTTGATGAGATACAAGGGGAGAGTTGTGAATGAAGAGGGTGGTGTGAGTCAGACAGAATGGATTTAGCCCATTTTTCACATTAGTTCAAGTGCCTGTCGACCAGAATATTAACAAGCTGGTTAAGTGGCACGTTGCTTACCCTGCTGACAACCTTTAACATCCTGTGTAATAAGGTATAGTCTTTCTTGTTGTGCATTGCTATAACCAAGTCTCATACCATCAGCCCAATAGAGATAGTGAGAAGTGCATATGTGAACGTGAGAAATACGTAGATACAAAACTAGATTTGTATTGCTGGCGTAAACATTTACTAAATGACTTTGAAGCCCATTTTCGTTAAAATAAGTTCAGTGAACCGTGGGTAAATAGATAGGTTAGTTAATCGCCTTCGGTACTTTGATTGACTACAGATTTTACCGAATTCATTTCCATGACGACAGTCAGCTTAAATATACACCTGTTCACATTTGAACTTGGCTGAAATTTCTGCTTATGAAACGGCGCTCTAACTCATTCCCGAAAAATTCCGTTAAATTAGTAAAACAGATATGTTACACAAAAGACAATAATGTGCGACTTACACCAAAATAGCTCAGTTTCTGTTTATTCATCAAGACGATATGATTACAAACACCGTTTAGAAAATCCTGTGAATGAGAAATAACGACCAAGCATCGTGGATAATTGACTAACTGACGCTCTAACCAAACGCAGGCATTCAAATCCAAGTGATTAGTTGGTTCATCAAGAAGTAGGAGAGCAGGTCGAACAAACAGAGCACGAGCTAGAGCAATTCTCATTCGCCAACCACCACTGAAATGACGAACCTAGAGGGGAAAAAACACATTATCGATTTGAGTTTTAGCAGATCAACGAAATCAGGAGTATTGAACAAGATGAGGAGTAAAAGACTATTTGTCAGCAGATTACCTCTTTCTTTTGCATTTCAGCAGTAAATCCTAAACCATGCAGAAGTTCAGCAGCCTTAGGTTCAGCTTTATCAGCATCCAAATGTTCCAGGCGATCATACACTTCTAATAGACGTTCATTCGCCTCTAAAAAAATATGCAAAATAATAACAAAAGACAGATTCAGTAAAATAAGTGCAACACGACAAGTACCCTCCAAAAGGCAATCACGAATAAATTAACGGAGATTTCCTTTCAAACAAAATAACCACGCTTAACACTGAAAACACGAAGTATATAGTTCTTGCCGCTTGTTGAACAATGCATATCATACACCCAGACAGCCCAGTTGCTTAAAGCTCAGTTACCCGGAATAGAATTCCCACTTAGTGCATCAGGACTGACCACCATACCACCCGACAATCCAGACAGAAATATGTAGAATGCGATTCGAACCGAAGTCGGACGCTAAAATTCAATGGAACGCATCCCTATCATACAAGTAGTCACCGTGAAGTATCACTAGAGTAGTCAAAATTACATCTCAAAAATTATGACGTATGGACCCTACGAGCACCACTTCGGTCATACATAGCATTTGGAAAAACAGATACAATTACACGAGTTTGACTACTTCATTTCATCGAAGTGATGAGACCTATAATATAATGACCTGAAGCCAGAAATAATTGAGATAACTTCTTTCTTAACGAAAAATGTAAGTTGTAAAATATCACATTAGGATAAAACTAGGGACATTCATTTCAAAAGACCTAAGGTGTTTGGAGCAGTTTTTAGGAACCCACTTTATGATAAATCTGAATGCGAGATTAGTAGTCAAATAAAACCAGAAGAAAGTTGTACTGCAACCTTATATTATAATTGTATCCTTCTGTAGTATCAAGGCGTACGAGGAGAATTAAAACAATCATAAGTGAGAGGAAATATAAATAGGTCATTAGCGAGAAGTTAGTGCTAGAATATAGACATTAGTTCTTACCAGGCTCATCACTCGTTGCAAGCAGAGCAGCTTCCTCCTCCAATCGGACACGCTCTTTATCAACTTCCATTACACACTGTAGTGCAGTTTTATTTGAAGGTGGCATTTCACGTTGCAACAGAAAGATATCAATATGCGGTGGTATAGTCAGTTCTCCATTGGCTATCACAGCAAGGAGAGTAGATTTTCCACAACCGTTTGGACCAATCAATCCATACCTAAAATTTAATAACAAGTTGTATTTTTTGTAAGCTTGAAAGTAGCATATTGTTTAATTTACACAAAATTTAAACTACTCAACTATTTCGATCGAATAAACAGATGGGCAAATGACAAGTTCAGATTTCGTTAGCACGAGTCAGTTACAATCGTTTATATTTGTTAAACGCTGTCAATCACTGCTACACAATTAGAAGTAAAGAATGTACTCTTTGGTTTTGGATGATATGTGTTCAAAAAACATTTCACTTGTGTCTGGATTCAGCAAAAATCTTCACCTGCCAGAGGATACTCGTCTCTCAATAAACAGGAAAAACACGTTTCAGCTACGTTTCAAAAATAGAGTAGATGAGCGGGATAGCTTATCTTAACACCTGTACAAAGTTGAATATGTAGTTGTCGGTGTGATGTATTTTCTTGATCTTCAATTCAAAGGAGGAAGATGTTACAAAGTCTCTAGACAACTGAAAACAAATCTCAAAGTTACGTCTGAGAAAGTGGCTAGTTTAAGGTAGTTATATATGCTATTACTTTAGAAAATAACATACTAAGTGTTTGACAGGTTTGGCCTTTGTTAAGATAACATGACAAACAAGTAAAACAGAACTTCATATAGTATGGCTAGAAGCTAAAACAAAGGTAGACAATGTACTAACTGTTCTACTTCTTCAGAATCTTAAACATTTATTCTATCAGCTATCGCTGCCATAAATGACCTGATACAGCCGAGGGTGGGCAGACTCCCGTCTTCTTCTCGAGATTTCATGTGACCACACGGTTATAGCCTCTGCCTGGTAGGTCCTATTCACTACCTTCCCAGGGTGGAGGTGATCCTCACAAAAGTGGAAGGGCGAATGCGACCCTCTGGCGCTTACAAACGAACTGATGGACATGTCGGTCTATCGAGGGGAGCTGGAAAACCCTAACTCCACACCTATGATGCACATAGGCTTTAGAATCTGGAAGGATCGAATGGTGTGTGAACCTGTTTTGGTCACAGGCAACCGTGAGAACGCAGCTCCCAGAGCTGCTCCACTGTCTTGTGAGTCAGACTCCCAGTTAAAGGCCCGGGAATTGACTTCTTAAGACGTCCACCTGCTTCGGTTTTGGCGTTTGAGCGGTATCTCAGCCCTATCACAAATTACGAGATTTTGTGTGGCGCATCTCTTGGTGCCCATAATGTACCCAGTTTGCGTTTTAATATAATATACTACTAAACATCAAATAATACTTTAACGTCTTGAGTTAGGCTTTCTCTTTTCTTAACTCATTATTTTTGAAAACAAACGGAATTATCCAAGTATTAGACGAATATGCATAAACACTGAAAGAGCATGAACGCAAGAAAACAGAAGGAAACGTGACATACCTTCTACCATTGTTCAGTTCCAGACGAGTGTCTGCCAGCAGAACTTTTCCATGAAAAGAGACACTCAAATTTGAAAATTGTACATCTCTAGCTTCGGGATGGGATGCCAGAACGCCAGTGACAGACCGATGTGCAGCAACACGTTCACTAAGGAGATCCAAGCACTCCAAAGTCTCAACCAAAGACTGGTGAACTTTTTCATTTTCGTCGTCACTGCCTAAAAGGATTTTCAAAAACTACTGAATTATAAAATGTGGGCAGGAATAATAAAAAGATAAAACATTCTACACTTCCTGCTTTGACTATTATAGTCGCTAATCGGTTTTACAACTGTTTAACGGTTGGGTAGTAATGAATGGATCCTGTCGAAGTATCGCAAGCATAATACTCCATAATGTGTCTATAATTACTACAAAAAATTCAGAAACCACTTTATTTAAAAAAGCAATGTAGATTGCATAACAAACTACGATGAACAGTATGCTGTTTATGAAAGACTGTCCAGCTGTTCTTGCAACGATAAGAATCAAAGGTTACAAAAAATCTTGGAAACACGGCTCAAATGTACCCTATACTCATCATATTAGAAATTCTGAAGACTCTTACTAGTTTTCATTTGATTATTTCTCTCCCATTTATTGTAGTATCACCTCATTCCCATGATATAATTTACGTTCAACGCGATCTGTCTATTTGGTGCTGTTGATTTAAGTGAGTGAGAATAGCCTCTAACAATTTCTTAATACAACTGCAGTTTTAATTTTATAAAACAGTGAAATTAGAGTATGTATGTCTAATTGTTAGTTAAGTCAATTGGCGGGAAACTTTCTCGGTCAATCTCCCAATCCAACATTATTACTTTCAGCTCTTGTTCACTCTATACACACTTCTGTAAACAGCAAACATTCAAGTGGATAATGATTCAGGAGCACAGCAAACCTTGCAGTTATTTTAAGTCATACAAGACTTCTACCTCTCTAAGCTAACAGTCCACGTACAGAAATTAACGTTGTTTCATAACTGAATAGAGACTAGTTCAATAGAAATAAGAATATAACGTATTTCTACGGCAGTATCATGGTTCCAAAACGCCGCACACTACACACAACTCTGAAATTACTGAGGTCATAAAACATTTAATCAGCTTTCCCTATTACTTATGGTAACCTTTATAGGAGTGGTGCAACCTCCGAAACAAGTGAAAAGGTTTCCACAATTCTATACTTGTAAACAAAGTATCAATGTAAAACGCTCCCAATGCATTACTTTTCAGCTATAGGGTGGAAAACACTCGGTGTTTGTTAGAATGAACCTCAACAATTTTAATTAGTAGGATAACATCTTTTGTACACCGTTAACCATTGAGGAAATTTCAGGCCATACATCCAAACAACTGTATGGTTATAGTGCACATAATTTTGAGACAACTTAGACTTTTAAGTGGCTTTGAAGTTGTACGTCTAGAACAGCTGAAGTTGCTTACATTTTAACCAAAACAATGCTTACGTCTGTACAATAATGGCATAAATGGTGACCTGGTAAAAAGGTTGTGGAGAGGTGGCTTATTGACCCAGAAACCCGATTTTTAAAGTGGTTTATATGCTTGAACTCTACTTCACTTGCCCAGGTTTCAGTGGTAAGGTGTCACGATAGTCAAAACAGTGTACAGGTGTGATATGGATTGCAATGACCTGTACCTCAATTATACTCCCATCTTGTGTCTTGAGGATAAGTTTTAAATCCGTCAAAATACACACAAAATAGTTATTGATATAAGTATAAAACTTGGGCACTGTGGTAAAGTATCATATCATATGATTATGAGCAATAATTTGTACTCGAAACGTCATCAGTTAATATTATTGTACAACAATGTGATTTATCAAAATAAAAATCTTATCCATAATGGAGTTATACACAAAATATCTTAACAGTTGACTTCTACATGGCAATTATTAACTACTCACTATGGATTAATCTGAGACTATTCACATCCGCGAAGAATATTAAACAACCTAATTAATCATAACAAGACACTGCAGGCTTCGTTTTATTTACAGATCCAATGAAGTGATATGACTTTACAAACGGACGATATGTACTGACAAGAATGTTTGTAGATGAGTAACAAGTAATCACGTAAACGACACACTGATGTTTTTGCTTCACCACTCTTAGTAAGACTTTTGATAGTTAAATTAAAGCTGACATCTTTGATTTTAAGTGATAACTAAGGATTCTGGTCAATTGACATTCCACTTGTCTTATTCTTCATTTCGTGCAAGAGTACATAATAAACATCATCAAAATAACAGTACCGCCTCTTATGTCACATGGCTGTGATTCCCTTTAGAAACTATAGATAAATAATAGCAAAAGATTGCACTTGCCCATAAAGTCTTCATCACGTGCGTGATGGGTGGAGTCTGAAGATCCAGACGGCAAACCATCGGGAACACCAACGCTTCCATTATCAACTATCTTTGCATCACCTTCACCATCTGGCTGTGACAGTGCCGTTTTTGCTGGCTTCTGAGTTCGTTTCTTCGCTGCATCCTTCTTCGCTTGAGCTTTCTTCTTTTTATCTTCTGATGGCATTTTTGTTGACTAGCAGTAATGATAGGGGGGCTATAACAAAACACTGAAAAGGAAAAGCGAAAGAAGAGTACTACATCAAATTAGTTGGAGGGACAAATCCACCAAATGTGTAACAGTCTTACCTTAAGAAATATAATTATATAATGAGTAAACTGAAAGACATGAAGTTTCACAATTTCAACCGGTGGGAAGTACAATGAGCTGCGAATTTCCAACAAAATACAGTTCCTCGGATATTACACCTAACTTTACTGTCTTCAACAGTCTCAAGTTAATACTTTCCAACAAAGTTAGTTGCCAGAGATTATAAGACGACGAATGAACTACTACTATTTTAACTACCTTCCAAATTTTGAGCAACAAACTTGTTGTTAGTCGGTTACCTGAATGTCTTGGATCTCTGAAGTAATCCAACTTGGGTTACAAATTTCGCCAACCATAGAATCCGCTCGCTAACAGGCCTGACAGATTACTCACAAAATTACCAGACACTTCACCCTCTTAATGACACCGAATGGGACAGAAAAATATCCTGCTTTATTCTGTTGTCACCTTGCGGGTTCTGAGAAATAGTCTTGGTTTATATACTTGGTTTAAAAGTCTTGGATTCATGTAGTTATTTAGCACTACTAGCGGTAAAATCTATGCTTGAAATGACAAGCACAATAACTGACTTGATACTTTGGCTACTTTTCGATATCAGATCGTTATATGTAATCAGTGGGTAATGATGAGTTCACATTTAGTTCCTTCTAAGACAGAATGGCAAGACACGCTCTTTTCAACAGATTGTTTAGACAACCACTTAAAATTGATAACCAACACCAAAATAAAAGATGTCATGAGTGAATAATAAATACCACCGGTGGCCTGTAGGGTCTGAAGTCTTCTCTTTTCGACAACTTTCATAATGCCATTGTTCCCACCCATCGAATAAGTAGACGATTATTAGCAGTAAAGATGACAAACGAAATGTTGACAACCAGGAAATCGCCATTAAACACGTTAATCATCAATATTTCGGAAGGTGGTTCTCAACAGGACCACGAAAACGCTACCCGTTCATTAGAACAAAACAATGTGAAGTTATGAGCATTTAAGGAGTGTAGGCATATTGCTTCCTGAACATTTCATGAAACCAAACTAGGGAAAAAGTATACTAGCTACACAACTGGTACTAACGAAAAGTTAGGGGATCACAGCATAGACCATTAGGTTGACACAGAAGCAAAAGTTACTGCCATTCCTCCTATAGGTAGAGCGCCAGTAACCATACAGCAATAAAATCCCAAGCTGTTAAAGAATTTCACGTATGAACAAAGCATTGGATTTGATGCCATGATGCTCAAGCATGAGCATAAGGTGGTAGATAAGTTAGCACCTAGTTAGAGGACTAACCCTCTACGATCCGTAAGTAAACCCTAAAGACCGGTGGTCTAGCTAACAGAGCTTACGCACAGGTAATACAACTGCTGTAGCGTCACTGACTGTATTTAGACAACTCTATTTGTACACTGAGTTAATTAATTAACTTCCAGTTGGTGAAATGATATATCACGTTAATACTGATGAGTATATATTTTTGCACCTTATACGTTCGTAACATACAAGAATAAGAGGAATGAAAGAATAAGAAGTTTCATGGTTTAGTTGGGCGTAGATTTCCATTAAAATACGTCAGCTTTCCAAACACAACCATCCACTGAGACATTAAGAAGATCTACATGGCTTTAAACTGTCTAGCGAAAGACTTATGATCACCAAGTCAACGGGATGGTAGCAAATACCTTTCTGAAGTCTCACTAGTCATGACGATCAGAACACGTAACCAATCAAAAAACACGTCCAACAGACTGCAGTAGAATATCGAGGCAGCTTTGAAGGCAAACAAATAACTAACCTTAACTCCAAGGAACACGACTACACAACACAAGCCAATACAACGTTGAAGTGGCGCATGTCTTAACGCAAGTCTTGTAATACCGCTCGGTATTTCAATTCAACGTTTCAATAGTAACCGAATCTTTTGAAGTTATCAGAAGCTAAGTAGAGAAAGTAACTATGTTGAAATTTCGTCAATCATAATCTAGAAGTCTTGATGGTTGTTGAACTTCTGCTTGAAATGACCAAGGAAATCTTAAGGTTAAGATTTTTTTAGATAAAACAAAGAACTTCATGCCCGTATTAGTTTATTTTGTGTCGGCAACCTGTGTATAACTATTCTTTTCTTCTTGGCTGAGGGAAGATGACCTAATTATATGAGTCTTATCCAGGCACTTCTAATGAATTTTCATATCATTCAAATACAACTAAGGTTAAAATAAATGGACTGAATTTAAATGACTGTATATGAACTAAATAACCTCCTGATATGTTTTAAAACAACTAAAATGTTTTAAGTTTCACTTTAAGAAACTACAATACCATTTGGTGTGTTCATAATCAACCTCAGATTCTCCAGCTCAGTCGTGACTAGCCAGACAAACAAATTAAATTTTTACCCATGCAGAGATAGGCAATTTTATTCCTTCACGATCCTAGTGGAACATAGGGCCTCAAGCAAGAGGTTTGAAGTTTCGGTAGCAGTGGTTTTTATTTTTACGGTTTTAGGTTGCTAACCTCATTCCAAACCTTCCCTCGTAACCAGTCATTCGTGCAAGATCCCTAGCTAGTTAAGCTGTCATCCTTGCATTACGATTTTGTCCCGAAATATTTCTTGTATTTCAGACGATAAATTTTCTTTTTGACTTGCCTTGGTTTTACAGAACGAATGCTATAGGAGTCGTGGGTATCAGATCTTGTATTAGAATACATCATACTAGGCGTGTACATCAACACCCCCAGCCTCTAAAAGATCTTCGGATTATGTTGGTAGCAAAGGCTTGGTTCGTAGAATCTCTGCGACACAAAACTTGTGATGAACGCTTTGACAAGCATTAGAGGGATACAGAAAAATAAGCTAAGTAACCAAGTGGGAACTATACTTTCTTTATTATTTGTATATTTTTCGCATCCAACTGGCTTAAACTAGGAAGACTTTTGTGTGGCCCAGGCTTTGACCAAAGTAACTGCTGACTCTCTAGACCAGCCCGTCCAATCTGGTAGCCAGACAGCTGTTTATATCATCCCAATTAGTGAGGCTTTGGTATGATTCTGTTTTTAAAAGATGTATTTATTCATGATAGCAAAGACAGAATGTTAGATTACACTACCACTTCACAACACAGCAACGAAGCTCTTATCTCTAGAGAATTTGGTTGTCCGTGATTTGACTCATTCAGAGAAAGTAAACAAATTGGTCGCTGATGGAGAGATTTCTGGTGTTAGGTTGAATTGAAAGGCTTCTTTGATCTCCTAAAAATTTTCCATCTTCACCTACCTGCTGGTGTGCTTACGAAATACAACTTCAGACTTAGGCTGTTTTTATATGAGCTATCGATCAGCACTTTTGTTATTTTGATACGAGTGTTGATTACTGTTAGCTGGTAGGCCAGGTTAAACTACAGCAGCGGTTATACGACAACCCTTTATTGAAGTGCCTCCACCTGCTTTGTCTAGCGGGCACTTGTGCGGTTTGGTTAGTTTAAGTCGGGCCTAGTTTTCTTTGTTTGTTCTAGTCTGATGCAGCTGACGTGATTTTGATGTGCATTGGCTCTTGTTGAATGAATTCACACAAGAATTGTTGTTTTATATTGTTATTAAGTATGTATATGTTGTTTGTGTAGCACGACACCCGAATACGTGATTCGTGTGAAGATTATTTGGCATACCGACTATGCTTCACGTATATTTCGATGACTGGCTTTAGAATAATATATTCACAGCTTGGTGACAACCTGCACTGTCATAGATTTTCAGACTAGCAGATGTGCATCACCTATTTCTTTTGCTGGAAACTAGAAATATGATAGGTGTCGAATTCCGGGTTTTGCACTTTTGTGCAATGTTTTAGTTGCTAAAAGTCAATGGAATTTATTAATATAAGCAAAAGTTAATGTTTATTTTTCGGCAGAAATCATGCTATGTGTTACGAATACTTTTAATATTCTCTGTTTTCTCTCAAAAACCTTCATTGCGCACTAAGACATTTTATTAGTTTGCTGCATTTGAATTGCTTATACATCGTGGTCATCAGGCACGTAAAGACATCGGATGAGTAGTGTACTTTTTGAAAACCAATCAGACGAGATCAACCTTTTTCTTATATTTATGCACCTATCAGTGCAATGAGAAGAAAATGACGAGTTGTTGGCATAAGCATTGCATTTATTATGCAGGGAATGATATCACAGCCACGGTTCATAACAGTGTAAGCAAGTCTTGCATGTCATTACACCAGCAATATAAATGATGATTGCAGCGCAATCGAATAAGCATAAGTTCAGTTTGAGAGAAGTAAATGCACTGAAAGGCTGCTTGCAAACACTATATGATGACATTTAATGGAAAGTCTACGAAGACTTGTAGGACAGGTAGGTGTAGTGGTTATCATATCACATTTCACCAGCCTTACTAAGAGTAATGAGCGCAACTATCTCTTAACCAGTACTCTACGGGACTTGTACTTACCAATAACCGGACAAAATTCGAAAGACTCAGTTATTTAGCAGGACACTTTACTGAGCAATAAATTTAAGCGGAATATAAATGTTGAAGCCATTGATGGGGAAGATTTCATAGCATTTCCTAATAGTATATGTGAGCTACGAACTGCGAGAAATGTGCGAGTGACCAGCGCAGCGTTGAAGCGCACTCAAGAAAGAAAAGATGATATAGCGCCATCACGCATGTATGCGTTTAAACAAAAACTCAAAACATTCAAGGTGCGCTACAGGTTATCCCCCCTTAAAAGGTTAGTGGGATGCCGGCAACCTTCGGTCAGGGCATACAACGTGTTTACAGGTACGTTTTTGCGAAACAACACTCAGAGAAGAAGATTAAGAAGGGATAAAGTTGAAGGGTGAAGGAAAAAAAGAAAAAACTAGGGAAATAGGGGCGCTGTATGCATGGTAAGTGGACCAAAGCGGAATACGGGGAGAAGGGATGCTGGTTGTTTTGGTGCAATTTTGTAGAGTTTTAAGTTGCTTACATATGTAATTTTATTGATTGAATAATTTTTTAAACTCTGTAAGTGAGTGGGGCGTCGCGCAACACACTTAAAGTGCGATGGCGGCTGGCGATACCAACCCATCGACCAGGATGGAATATAGGAAGTGTCACTCAATGGCTCTAAGTTGCATCTTAGACCAGTGCTTCCCTTCTCTACTTTTACAGTGAGTACTATTGACACTAAATACAGCAAATATTCGAACATAGCAGAAAGAACCAGGTACAAGAAAAAGAAGAAAGGAAAAATGGGGAAAAAGTAATTTCCGCATGGACATAAGATTGTCACATTTGCTTGGGTCGAGTAAATGCCCAGAAATATGGCGAAAACATAAAATTTATACCCTAGGTGGGAATAAAACAAATGAAATTGGTAACAGTACGGCTATTGCTGAAAGTTACAGGGCAAGGTATGAAAAGAACCGAAAAGTGATGGATGGTTAAAATTAATACGAAAAAAATGTTGCATAAAGCTAAGGGGTGGTTTCCACAAGTTTTTGTGCTGTTTTCTCAGTGAGTGTATTTCTTTATTTGCGTGTAAAGAATGTCCGTAATTTTGAACATTCTGAGAACAAAGAGATAACATTAAAACTAACATCTCGAACAGTTTCAGCTGACAGTGCGAGACAAAATATAAAAATTGGTGTAGGAAAACTGAGTTACTGAATGTGCATTTGACAATGTTGCTAGTACTCTGTAACGAGAAAAATCAAGATGACTAGAACAGTGAAAAACGGCTACTGCTGCAAACAAACCCAGACAGACAAATACGATGAAAAATAATTACTGTGACTTCGGAAAAGATATAACTATTAAATAAGGCTAAACGTGAAATCGTTTAGTTAACGGTTTCTGAGTACCGCTTGGGCCATTGCACACACCAACCAGTGTGTGTAGATGGCGCACCAGCGTTAGTATTGCGTGATGAATTATCAGAAGGTTCAGTAGTTTTGCGAGTACCTGAGTCTAGTTCGGGTTTTGAATGGGATGGGCTTTGATATCTTGATGTAAAAATCACTGATTCGTCATTTAAATAAGTTGCTTTAAGACGACTAATACCTTTTGTGTCTGGACGACCTACCCTATCAATGACAAAAAACTTGTCTATCCTGCTTATCACCTTGAATGGTCCGTCACAAAGAGCTTTGAAGGGTTTCCGCATGGCATCACAACACGAAACCATATGTGCAGTCTTACAGTTTCAGGTCCACCATCTCTTTCTTACTATGAGATCGAGTGGGTATTGGTTGAAGTTGGCGCAAGTAGGGTGTAGGATTCCGCATATAACTGTGGACGTAGGAAGTATTTGGTTCATTACCATCTGAAGTAGTCACATCTCCGGGTAGAGAGAGTGTGGTTCCGTGAACCAGTTCTGCCGAGGTGCACCGTATATCCACCTTGAGTTTGGAGCGGATTCTGAGGTGGGCCAGAGGGAGAGAATCTGTCCATTTAACGTTATCGATATCCAGCGTATAAGCTTTAAGTTGCCGATGAAAACGTTCAACCAGGCCATTAGCAGATGGATGGTATGCCGTAGTTCGTATGAGTTTACATCCCATTAGCTCTAAAAGCGTCTTGAAGGTTACAGATTCAAACTATTGCCCTCGGTCAGTTATAACCGTAGAAAGGCATCCAAACCGTGCAACCCATCTTTCCATAAACACTAGGCAAATGGTTTCGGAGGTTGCGTCAGGTATAGGTATGGCCTCCGGCCAACGTGTAAATCGATCCACACACGTGAATATGTATGATTGGCCAATGGAAGGAAGTAGTGAACCAACAATGTTCAGATGAATGTGGCTCAAACGTGCATCGGGTGCAATGAGGAAGACAAAAATAAGGTAATTAGGAGACATGTAAAGTGCAAGATAGGCGTACTGCAGGGACAACAAAATGTCACTCATCTCATTCACTTCGTTTCCTACTATTTCTTATATCCGTGCTACTGACTTCTGGCTTATGGTTCCTTCTTCGGTGCACTCTA